CAGTAAGCAATGCAAGCAGTTGTCTTTACTACTGTGTGAACACTTGCTTGTGCACTTGTTGTAGACCCTTTGGCTCTACCGAACCTCACCCCGTTCAAGTCAACCTTCAGTCTGAGGAGTCCATTTCAGTGGTAGAGGACCGAGATTCGTCACAGTAACTATAAACGTATACTTATACTATAGTCCCCTAGAGACCTAGAGACTAGAAGGTCCTAGAGGAGGGTGCAACCAAGGGGGTATATACCCAGGAGGAGTACATACCTAGAAACCAGCCCAATCCTATAACCAGTAGCCTAGGTATAAGTGAATAGTTGGAACCCGCCCAACGTCTAGATTTTCCAACACTTGAGGGTACGTCAACGTTGACGATTACCAACGTTAGGAAACCTCAACGTTGGCTGGATCTTCAACACTTTACTAGGGCCGACGTTCAGGATTTTTCCACGGGTTGCTCAACGCATCAGATTTTTCCTGACGTTTACCTGGAGCAACTATCAATTGACGGCGAATCTACAGTTGCCTGGACACCCCCCTCCCGGTACGGTTCAGACGCAATTTCACGTCCTCCGCCGTTGGAAGCACCCAGTACCTTCGAGATTGATGGCAAGACTATGCAAACGACTCATTATCAATATTTCCTCCCCTGGGCTGAAAACTGGCGGACATCTACCGCCGCGATTTCCCCAGGGTTCCTAGCCCGTCTTCCTCCAGATGAAAGGTCTCCGCGCAAGCGACGGGAGCAAGGCCAGAGTTGCGGCAGAACACGACGTAAACTACAAAGTCGGAGACTCGTATCCCCCAAATCCTTGTTCGATGCGAACTTTGGAAGTCGGAAAGTCCTCTCTTCGCTGCGTGTCAATGGCAGCGCTCCTCCAGGAGCGAACGACGACCAGTGTTTTCGGGCCCACTCAGACTTGTTGAAAGGTTCCCACTCATAGGTACCGGTAGCGTGTGGCTGTTAGTGCAGGCAAATTCTCGCACCCAAAATTTGGCCTCTCGACTACCCCTCTTAACAGATCGAGGCAGTGGTACAGGTACCGGTACAATACACACACCACCGCCCGGGTCGCTGAGGGGCACCGCACCCTCGAGGCAGGCAACGATTTGACATTGGCTGGCCCACCAACAATCAACAGCAAATCCACCTGTTGCTCCAGTGTGAGTCTAGGTCGCTTGGCAGCGACAGGTGCCTGAAGATATAGTACTTGGCATTGCCTGGTGCGACATGAAGGTCGATACCGGTATTCAGTCTCCGAGTCTTCCCCACCAGGACATGGCCGCGTACCTGCATCATGGGGCTACACTAGTGTACAGTTCATACATACACCTCTCTACACTAGTGCAGGAACCAAGCAGATTTTGCTCCCTTTATGGTATATGTTTGCTAACATCAATGTAGTCGTACTCGGCTATCGGTTGCATCGGTCGATCGTTGCGACCTTGTGCTGCGTGGATCCGTCGATCCATGTTGCTCGATGATACCTTGCTCCAGAGAGTCCAGAGCCAGACATGACGATTTGCACTTTAAGGTAGGATTATCCACTACGGTTGTCCACCTGGTCAGTCATTTTGCTGCTACACCTGTCGAGCAAATTTGCTGTCGAGGGTATCATCGTCTGGTCCTAGCTGTGTGATGCACATCGCACTCTACCCGTTACAGAGCGTTCACGAGGCCATACATACAGAGATAAAGGCAGCCTTGGCCTACACCCTCCACTTTCTGGACGATCAATGGATTCCACTGGACAATCTCCAGTAAGTGTTTCTTGAGTGCCCACCAAGTTACCAGATGGTTAGCGCTTTGAGTGCCGCTTATCTCCAGTGAACTTGCAGACTGCGATACCGCTGATATACGAACATAAAATGGCAAAAGTTCGCTGATAGCAACCCACAGTTCATCGACAGTATGTACGGCCGAAATTTGCTACAGTAGGCCGGCTTGCAAGGACGGTCCTTTAGCGGTTCCTTTAGCAGCTTCACATGGCCTGACGCCGGGACCCAAATTGGCGGGGTCACCCCATCGTGAGAACGAACGCAGCATGATCGTCAGCGTTCAGGCGAAGCCCACTCCACATGTCGTTGTCAAAAATTTGCATTGAAATGATATGCGCCCTGCCAAGACGAAGATGGGCTCTGCTGACTGGCCGAACGACTGTCGTGTGAGCTTGGTTCTAAGCAGGCCATCCCTAACATGTTGTTCGTCAAAGACAAACGCCAAGCCTCCGTCACGGGCTCTGCCGGATTTTGTCGGTCAAGTTCGCCATAAGAGCGGCCGAGATAGGATAAAAGAACCGGCTGCATGGCTCAGCCATGTCGACACCACGAAAACCAGTGTTCAGGGGTTTCCAATACGCTACACTAGCTACGGCAGTTAGACCCATGAGACCCACTAATCTCTCCGCACTGACAGGTCTCATCGGCGTCGAGGAGACGTCAACGGACACTCCACCGGACCAGTGGATACAGGGGTCCGCCCGTGGCGAGTAAAGGATGGCCACCCAATCTTGCATATTACTCGCAGTCGGCCACTTTGAAAGCGGAGGCAGGTTTTCAGCAACGATCGCTCCTCTAGGTATTCTGAGGGATCTGAGCGGCCAGCACCATGGCCACCCACGCCAGTGATCCGGCGAAGGACTCGGAGTCCAGAGTCGCCGAAATCATTGCGATTCTGACGGTGGCAAGCGTGTTATCGACTTTGACCGTTGGCCTCCGCTGCTATTGCCGGGCCTTCATGCTCCGAAGCTTTGGGTGGGACGATGGGGTGCTCCTCCCGGCGCAGGTATGTCTTACAAGTTCTCCATGTATGATCTCCCCACGAAGCACGGCTAACCCGGTTAACAGGTCTTGACATTAGGCTCAGCCCTGGCCATTGGCCTCGGTATGCGGCAGTGAAATGTCTTTTCAGAACTAGGAGATGCTGACAGTCAACAGAAACAAAATATGGCCTCGGTCGACACTACTGGGTGATGCCCGATGAGGATCATATCCCCTATATGAAGGTGGGCTGAAGCTTAGGTTCTGCACCCCCGAAGCATCTCGAATCAAGTTAACGCCATCATGACAATAGTCGTTTTACAGTTCAATCATCATTTACAATGTTGCTGTCTGCATGACCAAAATCTCCATCCTCCTCCAGTACCGACGCATATTCAACAACACGATGCTTCACAAAATCATCCTCTTCGGCCTTGGCTTCCTCATATGCTGGGGCATTACGCTCTGCTTCCTTCTGCCCCTGGTCTGCGTGCCGACAGCCGCCTTTTGGGACAAGAGTGTTGATGGGCACTGCCTTGACAACCAAACCATCTGGTACATCATGGCCGGTGTCAACGTGGTCACGGATTTCGCCCTGTTCACCATGCCAATCCCGGTCATCAGCTCGCTGCATCTGCCGAAACGACAAAAGGCTCTGCTGTTGATCGTCTTTACCCTGGGTATTTTGTAAGTCCAATGCCGGAGCCCGATGCGGGAGCCCCAGATCTCTTGACCCAATATCTGACAAGGAATCCCATGAATCCAGCCCCTGCGCCGTGTCCATCTACCGTATCCGGACCCTCCACGCAGCCGCGAGCTCCGAAGATCCCACCTGGGAAAACATTGACGCAGCCACCTTCTCCTTCCTCGAGCTCACCGTGGGCGTCATTGCCATCTGCCTCCCAACGCTACGCCCCGTCCTCATGGCCGCCATGCCGCGCATCTTCGGGTCCATCCTGCGCTCAGCCAGCGGGGGGCACGCGGGCTACAACAACCACAACGGACCCTATGGCGCTGGCACGGGCGGTCGAGGAGGAACAACCGGCGGACAAGGGGGGACGGTGCTCACCGGCCGCGGGACCATCACTGGCACCACCACCAAAGGAGGAGGCTCACTGGCAGGCTCGGGCGGCGGCGGGACGCTGACGCGCAAAAAGAGCCTGCTGCACCGTGACGGGTCGTCGGATAGCACCGAGGGCCTGCATCTGCCGCCCTACCGCCCTCGCAGTGGCACGCCTTCCATCGGCCGCGGCGATGAACAGTTGTCGGATATTGAGTTTGGGGATTTGGAGAGCGCTAGCGGTGGCCTCAGCCAAGAGCATGACCATCCCATCCACCACGGGCATGGCAGGGGCAAGTACAGCGTGAGTGTTGTTGCGGATGGGGGTGGGTGGGAGCGTGATCGGGTGGAGAAACAGCGGCAGCGGCAGCAAAATCAGGAGAACGACCAGCAGGGGATCAAGACGACGATCACTGTGTCGCAAAAGGTTACGTTTGCTAAGGATGAGGTGGGGGATCAGGGTGGTGGTGGTGGTGGCAAGAGTTGAGAACTGGGAGGTTGTGGTTTCATTTATTTTGTTTTGTTTGGTTTGGGTCGGTTGGACCGGAGGCACAGGCTGTTACAAGGAGCGTCTCGCGACGACTGGATACTACCGGTACAGTACTTGTAATCACGTTCGGCACTGCCAGGTGGAGGATGGTGCCCTGCATTATTTCCAATGCGGTGTATCCATGGTGATACTGAACTATTCCGCTGTACGATACATGATATACTGGCTGCTGATAGCAGCACCTAGAGTGATACCCTACAAACATATGACTGTACAACTAGCTTGAATAGACACTAATAATACAACTTGGTCAGACATGCGCGCTAGGAGCTAGAGCTAACCTGGACTTACCAGGAACCAGATCACTTTTTGCTTCGAGTCTTTTTCGATGTCGAGCTCTTGGTGTCTTTCTTTGTTTTCGAGCTCTTGGTGTCATTCTTGGATGTCGAGCCCTTAATGTTTTTCTCGGATGTCGAGCCCTTCGTGTCCTTCTTGGATTTTGAGCTTCTGGTGACTCTTGGTGGCTCTCCACTTCTCTCGTCCCCATGGTCCTGCCCGTCCTGCCCGTCCACGACAGTTGTTGCCGGTTTAGGCTTGGGTTTGGGCTTTCTTTTCACATTCCCCTTGGGAGGGGGAGGAGGAGAGGCAGTGGCATCTGTCGCCAGGTTTACGTTGGCACCTTGTCCTCCGTTGGTGATGGCAGGAGGGTTAAGGCTGGCTTCCCGCTCGTTGCCGTTGGTCTGTGGAGGGTCCAGTTTCGTGTTGCTAGACCCCGTGGGCGCTGCGGCTGCCTGTGTACCTCTGTCTTCACCACTTCTCCGCTTCTTGACTTTGCGGGCGGGCTCCGAGTCGTCAGTCAAGGTATCAGGAACTTTTCGCTTCATCTTGTCTGTGCTTGTTGCTGGTTGGCGGGGGGGTTTGGCGACCTTGGGGGTTGCTGCCGGACCTTTCCTCCCCTTTGGCGGTCTCCTCGCTCCAAAGAGTAATCTTTGCGCCCTTTTGGGGGGTCTATCTCTGCCCTTTGCAGGCGGTGCTTGTCCTATAGGGTCTGCAGCTCTGGTTGTATTGACGGTAGGCTGCACCGGTTGTGTGTTGAGTGTCTTTGGGGATTGTGGCGCTTGTGTTGTAGCCTCCGTGGTTTTGCTTGTTTTCGTCGCAGGCTGCACGTCTTGTTTATCGGCTTTCCCTCTGGCTCCGGGTGCTCTTTTTGTAGCGTCTGTGGCTTTGCTTGCCTCTGCCGTAGGCTGCGCCTGTTGTTTCAAGTTGTTCCCCTTCTTGGGCTTCCCCCCCTTTTTGGGTGGTGGTGCGTCCGAATCACTTATCGCCTCTGTATCTATGCTTCTCTTCAACGTAGGCTTCGTAGCCCCTGTGGTCTTGGTTGCCTCAGCCGTAGTCTGCGCGAGTAGTTTGTTGGCGTTGCCGGCATTGCCTTGGGCTCCTGGTGGTTCTCGCGCTGCAGCCGTGGTTTTGGCCTTGTCTTTGTTGTCTTTGGCCCCCGATGCCGTTGCGTTCCACTTCCTCGGTGCGGCACGAGGCCCGGCATTATGGACGAATCTTAATCCCATCAAGTTGTGCAAGGATTCCAGGAGCTGCCGGAGTATCTCGCCGCTATTCAATGTACTCCAGGCAGGAACTGGAATATTTTGCCAACCCAACACTTCATAACGTATGAAGGCCATCATGTTCGCGATGACATGAAGGCCACAGCTCCAACCGTCCGTCTGACACTTGACTTCGACCAAACTGTGCACTGCATCTTGGGGCACAGCTTCGTTATTGGCCGCCAACCATTTGTTGAATATTGCATGGGCATCGCTGCTACGTTCTTCCCGGCCGCTGGGCACGGAGTCAAAGTACCAGGTATTCCCAGTCTTTTTTTGCCGGATGATCAGGGCCCAGTGTTCATGAGGAGACTGAAAATGCACCAAGTGCGCGGTGAACTTGGCTTGGCGGAACAGCGTTATATCCCGGGTTCGATTTCCCACGTCTGCCCTAACTTTCTGCAACTCTGGGTCGGCCAGAATCACGGTGGGGGAGAATCGCTTATGGCGGCCGGCTGTGAGAGTATACGCGTCGGGTGCTATCCACCAGTCTCCGCGCGAGCGTGGTCCCAAGCGAGCCCCGTCTTGATCTTGGATCCAGCTTACAAGCCTGCTGGCGAGACAGTAGATTTCGTCTCCATTCAAGAGATGTTCTTCTGCCTTTCCACGACGGTTCTTGCCGGGTTTTCTCGCCCGCCAGAGTCCGTTATGACAGATTTGGAAAGAGCGGAGGATATCTTCGTAATCGAGCCCTGGCTCTTGATCCAGACCTATATGTACACTTCGGACTGCGAGTGGACGATGCCTGCACCTACGTATATATGTGTCTTGAATGAAGTCCCGATCCCCATCACTTATCGGGCGTTTCAACTCCCGGTTGATTTCAGGACTATTCGCGTCTTTCAGTTCGTCATCCGCGAGTGGCGTTGGGAAGTCCCTGTGAGAAGGAAGGCGGAAATTGTCATAGACACTTTCCGGCGTCGGTGCGGGTCCAAAATCGTCGACGTATGTGCCTGCCATTTGCAGAGAGGCTTCGATGGAACGGATTGAATCAACGGATGAAACTCGAGTACAAAGGGGGAGTGACCCTGGCTGAGCGAGTCGGAGTCTCGACAGCAACATTTCAACAAAGTTTTAAACATAACCCCTTTTGAAATCAGATCAACCTGTTCCACAACAAAGCGCCCACGGTCAAAGCCAGAGAGCCAGCCTGACCCTTTCAGGATATTCGGTTGGACAATGTCGAAAATACGCATCCGGTATGCTCTTTGTCTACGAGGCAAGGTTCAATTCATTTAGCGCACAGCCGATTCACCTCGAGACGCCCTGGAAGCAAGAACCACCCAGTTCCAGTCGAACGTACCTTCCATTTCGGTTGGACATTACCTACCTTACATACCCCAGAACAACTGAGATCAATGCCGCCAACATCACCCTGCCAATGCACACCGTACCACCCTCAACAGCCCCGACCAAGCGCCGCATCCCTGACCATGGAGCACTCAACATACCCACCGTCAAGGTACTCCAACCGCTCCAAAACCCTCCAACCAAACTTTTCAAACAGCGGCCTGCCCTCAGGCGACGCCTCGAGGTAGGCCTCGCACCCGTTCGCATCAGCCCTGTCCACGCCCCAGGTCAACAAGCCGCTTCCCACCCCTTTCCCTTTGCCTTCGGGCCGCGTGCAAATCACTTCCAGATACCAATGCTCCCTCTGGCCCATGTACTTGACATGCCTCTCGTTCTGCTCGCGAAAGAAGCGCTCCGCAAGCGCCGGATCCGCCGTCTGAGCCCAGATTCTACCGCCCTCCCCGCCGTCGGTAGCCTGACTGGCGAAGGCCACACCTGCATCGAGAATGTTTGGCGGCGGCGAGCCCGCGGGGACGTACACCCTACGGTAAAGAATACTAAGTTTAACTTCATTCTGAGGAAGAAGGTAAGTAAATAAGGACATACCACTTTGCAAACCCGAGCAGGCTGGCTGGGCTGGTGGACGTGTCCTCAGCAACAATGAGATGTGCGTTGGGGTCGTCAAACGCCGAGGCCGCCACGGCAGTCCAAAACGCCAGAGTATGTTCCTCTGAGCTCGGCCCGATGACTCGAATCAGCGGGCTGTCGGCGAACGCGGCGGCTGCAGTTGAGGCGCACGCCGGGATGTCTGCCGGGATCGCGGGGCGGAGGGTGAATGGCTTGGCCAATGACATGTTGGCGGTGACTGTAGAGATCTCGTGGTGGAACTAAGCTGTTGACTGATGTGGTTGAGGAGGTGTAGTCTATATGAGAGGTGATCAGGTTAGAAATAACATTAATACGGAGGATGGGAGATATGCGAGGGCGATGGATGTTTTATACGTACCAGGCCGCTACATGAGACTCAGGTCAGAGTTGCCCCTATACTCCGAGTCTATATGTGTGATGACTGAAAACACAGTCAACTCGCTAATATGGTCTCACCTCCGGCAAGACATGTTTGTCGCCGGGCAATCCGAATCCCCGGAACCTGAGTGAACTATGTGACAAGAACCCTCGGGTCCGCGGACCATGTAGCAAACGGCTTGTCACCGAGTTGATGCGATGACATAGCCCGTCTGACGTCCAGCATGTAGATTACAGGCCAGTTAAGCGAATGCGGTGCTGCGCATCGCATCCGGGTGCCGCGGGGCCCGAGTTGAGGATTACGAAGTTAACCGTGAACTAGTGTCAATGCAGTACACACGGGTTACGCGGCATATGCGAGCGGCAATGACTGCAAATGTACTGCGGAAAGAAACATTTACAGGAGCGGGTACAAATAGCTCCTGAAACCACAATTTACGAGAGATACACACGTCTATCAAGATGCAGAAACCCATCTGAGCCAAAGCCCAAAGCCCTGGACTGTCGCCGGTCTTCCCATGCATATGACCTGAAACTGAAAGTAGTCGTAACCCGTTCCCATCCTGCACTCTATACCGTAGCACGCCCAACATGAGACCTTTCAAACCCAGCAGCTCCCAAGCTCCCGTCATCATGAGAGCCCGTTAGGCGCGTCGCGATATTCCCACACCGTGGTCCTGGTCCACTGAGTTACCACCTAGGCCGCTTAGGCCGCGGCTCGCTACTCTGTCCACCATTGCCTTCTGTACTTGCCCCAGCAGTCGCCTTGCCGGCTCCCGTGGGTTTTCCTCGTCGTGTTGAAAATCCACGTGCTTGCCCCGGCCCAAGCCCTGGCTTCCCTTGCGACCTCTCGCCGCCGCCGGCAGCATGATGATGAACCTTTTTAGGAGCTGCGCCAGCCGGATTGCGCGGCGGCGGCCGCCTCCCCTGGGCCGGTGCCGCGGGCGCCGAGCCCACCACCAAGCCCTTGCCCTCAATCACGAGTCCGGGCACCCCCTTTAGGCCCATCTTTGACACCAGGCTCTGCCCAAGTGGCGGTGGCTCGTCCAGGCCGATGGACTTGGCGAACTGGTTGCCTAGCTTCACAACCGTCGGCGGGTCAACGCGGTAGAGCTTCATGAGGCTCTTGATGAAGCCGAGGTTGGAGATGTAAGCCTGCACCCTGGTTTGCTCGGGAACTTTGGCCAGGGCGTTCTTGATGATCTCGGCCGAAGGGTAGGCTGAGGCTTTGGGGTGGGTACTGCCGAATGTGTTAGCATTTTCCGCGTGTTGGAAAAGACATAAACTCACAAACGGCCGGCATTCTCAATCGGAAATTCCGGGTTGTTCCTGACAAACCACATCTCCTCTGGCGTCAAGATCGTCACGGCACGCCCGCCCTTGCCAGCCCGCCCTGTCCTCCCCACACGGTGCACGTATTGGTCCTTGTCCGAAGGCACCCCGATCTGCACCACGAGGTTGATGTCCGGAAAGTCCATGCCACGGCCGACCACGTCGGATGCGAACAGCAAGCCGCGGTCTGTCGCCTTGAATTCCTCGACGGTGCGTGTCCGCGCGGCCTGCGCCATGCGCGACTGCATCTGGAAGACGGGCAATCTCGGCGGCGCAGCACCGCCGGTAGACCCAAACACGTGGTAAAGCAGTCCCGCATGCCGAGCGGTGGGACAGAATATGACGGCTTTGAGAACGGGGTCGTCGGCCTTGGCGCAAGACAGGACCGAGTGCAGCGTCGGCAGGACCTCGTCAACGGAGCTGACCGGGATAACAGACTGCGGGACCGTCTCAATGGTGGGCGCCTCGTTCTTGTCGATGGTGGAGATACGGACGTGGTTCTTATCAAGAACCAGGTGCAGCACCTTATCGACCTCTGGAGGGACCGTCGCGCTGAAGCACATGCCTTGCCATTTCCCTTCCGCCTTGGGCGGTATCTGCTGGAGGATCTGCATCAGGGCGGGCATAAACCCCTGATCGAGCATGCGGTCCGCTTCATCCAGCACGAGGCAGCGGATCTTGCTCAACCTTTGCCGCGGTTCTGGCTCCGAGAGGTAGTCAATCAAGCGCCCAGGCGTGGCCACCAGGATTGTCGGCTTCCCCTTCAGGAACTTGGACAGGCTCGACTTCTTGCTGCTTCCTCCGACAGCAAGATGGCATTCCAAGGGGGGAGTGCACGACTGCGTCAGCCTGTCGCATTCATCCGCGATCTGCTGTGCCAGTTCCCGCGTGGGCGCAAGCACCAGCAGGCCGACAAACTCGCGTTCCAGGTCTTTTGCTGATAGCAGAGATTGCAGCGCCGGGAGTAGAAACGCAATGGTCTTGCCCGTTCCCGTCTTGGCTTGCACGAGGCAGTCTTGGGTGAAGGTGGGGAGTTGGAGGACCTTCTCTTGCACCGGTGTCATGTGCGTGAGATCCATGGCATTCAGCGCACTGAGCAACTGCGGCTTCAACCTGCCAGCCATTTGCGCAAAGACAACGCGCCCATTATCGGCCGCCATTGTTGTCGCGGTCCGAATGAACCTTTGTGCCCGAGGCGTCTTGAGAATAGAAGTTGGGTTAGAACTTCTCTGAGCCTGGGTCAACAAGTTAACCACGACTCGGATAAGACGGGATGAAAGCATCGTACCCTCGTTGTGTGAACAATGAGCAAATAAACCTGCCGCTTTGTAGACTGGGCCGCGTGAAAGATCAAAACAAAAGGCGAAGATTGATGAAGAAGGAGGCGACTGAAACTGCAGGGATGTCGCAGCCTGCTGAGATTTCAGCAGTTGCCTTGCCAGGGGGGCCTAATCTGTTCATTGCCGATTGGTTTAGGCTGTAGAATTAGTGGGGCAATAAAGCAGGGCTTGCGGATCATGCCGCTCGTAGGCGAACCTCATTTCCTTCTTTCCCCCTGACATTTGAAGCCTTGTTCGAAGCCGTGGGCAGACAAAGAAAGCGAATTGCCTCGATATGCCTCGCTAGGCACTGAGCCGCGGCGAGTCAATAGCGCATGATGGTCCGAATCAACAACCGGCAGCGCTTCAAAACAATAAGCGTTGGGACTGCCATCGGCTTCAGTCATCTGACCATCTTGCTCGTGGACATTTCCGCCTGGCTGCAACGCAATCGTTGACTCGAATGTCACCACTGCACCGGCTATCTCACATTACACGAAAATTTGTACATTAAGATAAAGGTAGCTACCGCATCTTCCCATGCGGCATCCACTAACTACATCTCCTCCTTTCATAGATCCTCTCATATGGACAGGCGCAGAAATATTCTTGAGCAAGGAAAGATATTGGGGCCCACTCGCTGATGAATATACATACCTAGGCACAAAGAATGATTACACACGCACCAAATGTACGAAGCCCCGTCTAGTGAAATTCGCCGACCCTTGGACCAAAGTACTCTCCCTCTGGGAGGACTTTGAGGACGCAGTCGCCACTCCCGTCGCAGCCAGAACTCACAACGCTGTTGCCCCACCAGTCCACCTGTATGTCCGAGATTTGTACAGCAAAGAAAATGACGACGGCGCTAATGGCAACGCCGCATGAAAAAGCTGCCGATGCGACAAAGTTGTACTGTTGAACCATGATTAGATTTTGCTTCTGTTGACCGGCGGGGGGGAGAACAAACCTTGGACCAGAAAGCCAGAAAACGCTTCTTCAAATACAGCCAGGAAAATGCGGCAACGGGCACGGCCGGCCAGATGTAGGCCAAGTTGTACGGAGCCCAGAGCAGCGCGCCATTCAGCATGACGACCGGGTGCGCGTTCCGGATGATGGCATTCTTTGGCCACCTCCGGCTCAGCATGTAGAAGAAAACCACAATCAGGACGCCAAAGGGGAATCCAATCAGGGTGGGCGCGTACTGGCCACCAATGCCCCAGATTTTGCGTGGACCGACAGTTCCCCAAAATACGGCGGCGGTGAAAAATGTATTGTTCCCAGGGCAAGTGAAGCGGAACGGCGCGTTCTTGGTGCAAATGTCCTTGATGTCGACCTGGTACTGCAGGATGCCGATGCTAATGAATGACGAGACAAGGGTCGGAACCATCTGTGCCCAGAACGTGTAACGAGGCGGGATCTTGAGGTAGTGGGCAAGCTTCAAGTCCTTGAGAAACGACACCGCGTGAGCACAGGTGACATAGCCGTAGCTCTTGAAGAAACACATTGCGATAGCGTTGCCTTCGACCCATACCCCGCCAATAAACTCGGCGAGCACGTTGAGGGTGACTTCAACACCCGTCATGGCCATAATGATGCCGATAGGCACAATGAAGACGAGGCAGAGGGCGATGCCATACAGGACCACCCACGGCGTCGTGTTCGTCGGGTAGGCCGCAATCCCGGCCATCCCAACCGCAATGGATACGGCCAGGCATATCATGTACCACCACTCAGGCACTTCGGGGTATTGCCGCATCAACCGATTGTGGACGTCAAGAAGGTGGAGGTCTTCCTCGGCTGTGTTCTCCCGATCAACGCCTTTGGCCTTACCAAGTCGGGCCGCCCACCATTGCTTCATGCCGCTCCATATGTCTCGAAAGCCGAGCATAATCTCGTGGCGATGGTAGAGGGCGCCGTAGGCCACGGTGGCAGAGTACACGGCAAAAAAGAACATATAAATCACGGCATTGGCGGCAGAGAGAAAGGGAGGAGAATAGGCCTCGTACTTTGGGCCGTCGAAGATGCCCTTGTCATCGATGATGGCCGTGACGTTATAAGGCTGGGCAAAGTGGTCCCACGGCCTGTTCGAGTTGATTGGGAGATAGGCCGTGTTCCACGTGTTGGTGTAGTAGATGGCAATCACGATGAGCCCCGAGAAAAATGTGCCAAGGAAGAAGTTGAATGTGGAGAAGAAAGGCACCATAAGGGGGTCAAGGGCGTACATGAGGACGTTCCAATCGAATGTGGGCACCGGGTTAAAGCTGAGACCGTTGTAGCTACCGGTGATATTGGCCAAGTCCCCGTTGCTCGGGGCGATCCAGGCCATCCAGCTGAAGATGCTCAAGGCCGCAAAGAGGTAATTCGGGAGCCAGAAGTAGACGAACATGAGCCCAAACGCCCACAAGAAAAACCGAAGGCGCGTCATCTTCCAAATCGACTTGAATGGCCCCGGCACCGTTGCGGCCTCAATCGATTGGTCATGGAATGCCGAGTTCAGGGCAACGGTGACCAAGGACGACGGCCACACGCAGTACGCTGGGTACACGAGGAAGCGGCGGCAGAGACCAGCCAAACCATAGCCGATGAAGTTGGTGGACAGAGTGATCATGATCTGGTAGCCCACATTTCTGGCATATGCTTGCCCAAAGTATCGCGGCAAAACCTGAATCCATATGATATAGTTCGTATATGGAACGCTTTTCGCGATGTTGGCCATGATGGTGATGAGCATGTGCTCCTTCCGCGAGAATCGGCCGGGGTTGAGGCTATGGCGGACGCCAAAAAGGGTGATGCCCACGTCGGGGAGGACACGCTCGAATAGCTTGCCGACTGGGAAGGCCAGGAGTTGCGGAACCGGAGACAAGACGTAGATGCTGGGGAAACGCACATCAAAGAAGCAATTGATGAACGAGATGCAGCAGGCGAAGAAGGTCCCTATTATCCATGCCCGGATCGTTGAGCATGGCATGTCCGGGTCATCATGATTGTCTACCACAGCGCGCACCTCGGCGTAGGGCGAATTGTTGGTGATGAGCGCGATCTGGACTTTCATCTCATCAATGAGACCTTCGTGCTTCTCGGGATTGCTGAAGACATCTTCATTGGCTATTCCCTAGTCAGTCCACGCCTAAAATACAAGGAAGTCAACCAATGCAATGGGAGCACAAACCGAGAAATTCCTCTATCTTGTCAATAATCTGAACAGGGAAATTGGGATCACACGAATGTTGTTTGTAGACTTGGGTCATCAACTGATGGCATATTCCATGTCAGTTGACAACGTCCATGCAGAATCCGGAACAAGAGATTGAGCACTTACACGTCTTGTATCCTCAAGCGTGAACCTTCCTGCAGTGCGCTTTGCCTCGAGGAGGTCGGCCTCGGTTACGGTCATTCCGTGACCGGTCTCGCTGATCTCAGCACTCAAGATCCGGCCTTCGCCGGCGCCGGAGCCCTTGATTATGAATGATTTGGTTAGCGACTGGACTTGGTTGTGTCGTGCTGGAACAGAAAATAGGAACAAGGCAGATATGGACGTACAACCATGTTGAGCTCGTCGCCATGGAAGGCGCTGGCGTCGACAGTCACCGGTCCCTTGACCTCAGGCTTCTCAGTCGCCTCCGACATTATGGGCAGTTCCAATGGTGGTGAGAAGCGCAAGATTAGCAAGGGCACAAAGGTAAGCGGAGGAACCGACGGCCTGTCCAAAATCCGCGAAAGAAAAGATTGGGCTGCCAGAGCTTGACGAAAGATAACAGTCGAGCGAACTGGGTCCCGAGGACGGCAAGGAGCACCCCGCAATATCAACCCGTTGAAACGGAACAGGGCTCCAGTCTTCAGATGTGCGGCAGAGCTTGAGCCAAGGTATGTGCATGGTAGGGGACAAACTTTAATCGCACATCACTGCCAATTAGCCGGGCTCTATCTCCGATATTGGTTCCCTGCCGCTGCCGGCGAGGGGACCGGTCATCCGGGCACATGGCAAGATGGCTCCTCTCTCTTCCTAACTTTCCTTTGCCAATGACAGAGAAGTGGTGTCATATTTCATGCGATGTGCAAGACAAGCTTTGGATTTGAACTCCTCAACTTTCATCCAATTGCTTTTTCTGTCTGATACTCACAATATTGGGACGGAAGGTGGAGGGTAGCTCTTACTTTCCTGCTGTCTTTGTGTCTAGCACTTGATGCAGCTCCACCTGCACTTACTTTCGCAGTCTCACTCCGGGTTGCCATCGTCGCCATCGTCTTGAAATGCGCGAAAGTCTTCGCAGTAAACATAGTCAAGACCCCTCTATTGTGGAAGCGGGCGCATCTCGACCCATCCCAAGCGGCAATCTATATTCTATACTTTAGGGTGCCGCTGATCAGGAGGTGGTCTTGTGGCAACCCTTGTTTTACTCTACCCGAGTGGCACGGAGGGAGATCCGGAAGACTCGCCAAGCGGCCAAGGCAAGATAACGCTAACCTGTTGACCAATCATGCAACCCGGTTTCCCCCAAACAGGAAGCTTCGGCCTGGGGTCGGTGGGGGCACCACGACTTGACCCTCGTGCAAACCTTACGGCTGGTAAGTGTGCTGCACTCGGCATACCCGGCAGTCGGGAAGGAGCAAGAAGCTCAGTTGAGGATCATTAAAGCACCCCGCGCCCGCAGGAGTCTAAGAGTAAAGCCGGCCAGCCACAGCGTTCGAGCCCAGACTCAGACTGGCCCATCATCCATGTCTCGTGGATGTGGCCCTGAGACTCCTGACATCGCACCCAACTTTTTATGCAATGGCTGCTGCCGATTCTTATCGCTGCCGTCGCTGCCAAGTCCATCGTTCAAACCGGAACTGCTGTGTTGGCGACATTCCGCTCTAGTGTTCGATTCAAGATCTGGCTGGCTTACTTCGTATGTTTCACGTTACCTGCCAGTAATGATCATGTGGGATGATATTGGCGTTGGTCATTTCGACCTTCGCTGCATGGAACTGGATCTGCTCTCGTTACCCACCTCTGCTATCGACCAGACGATCGCGTCAAATGCTTTCTCCAAGACTCGAACGACCCAAAGCGAAAGCGGGGTTGGCCGACACTTCTGATAGTGAACGATGGGATTATGCTAGATTATTGCAGACGGGAAGCGACATCATTGCGCACAGCGGTGATGCGGGGTGCATAGGAAGCTCCCTTAATTCTCACAACACCTACCGTTCTTGCCTCCTCGTCAACAGCACCGACTCGAAGCACAATACTCACTCAAAGGGATGCTCCAGACACTCTTCTATTTGACTCGCTTAGTGAATGGGTTCAGGTGTGACTTGGTTGGCCAGTTGCGAGCTACTGGGTTGTCAAATGTCAATCAAACTACCGATTGATCAATCATCGATCGGCCGGGAAGTGGCTTTATTCGTCGTTTATTAATTAACCTACCTCCTGCTTTGCTACCTCCCCAGGTGGACCAATTGGTCCGCTAACCAAGATGCCGAAGTTTGCACGAGATACTGCAGCATGAGTCTATCAATTTGGACATGGGTTTGCCACGGATAACAGATCTGCGTACTAGGTAGCTAGGTAGCGTAGGCTGGTAACCTGACACCGACCTGCGCTGCTCGTGATAGAGCTTGGAAGTCATCGACATCTGGATTGCAGCTCTAGGTTGCCTCGGCTATCAGCAAACAGATTGACAGTGGTACAATGCCGCCGAGGTCCAAAACAGTTCTTATCACAAGTCTGACTTTCCTATCAACGGCAAGGGGGTCTCGACCGGGCCAGCGGGGGGGACTGAGCGACCGTTTGTGTTGCCCGCTCTCACATGCAAGGAAACTGAAAGCTGGAAGTTTTGATCATGCGAATCCTCCTAGGCTTAGATACCTGGTACCTACGCAATTTGAACTTGGCATACGGCATGTTTGGCTCTTCTCGGCGGATTTCTACCTGGGTAGGTACTACCCAAAAGCCGAACTTCGATTTACTTTACGAGAGTCAATAACTTCGAGCTACCGGGCTTGGGTCGTGTGAAAATTTGCTATCGGACTCAGACACAGAGGAACGCTTGGAGTATATGGCTAAACCAGGGGCAAGAGACAAGGAAGAAAATGATGCAAGTGTGCTACGGTAGGTGTCTGTTTTAGATTATAAGTAAGGTTCTACTACCGGCGTGTACCTACTCGTATGCATTGCGCTGAGCTTTTGCTACATGGGATCCGAGCTAACTGCATATTTCGCCAAAAACTATATAGACACAGATCTGATTCACAGTTTGCGGCAAAGCCTTGTGCCCGTTTCAATTTGCGCCCAGTTCTCGGTCCCGGGGGTGGAGACCGCGTAGAAGACGCCATTGGGGTCATACCTTTCCCTGATCTTGAGCAGTGTCGGGTAGTTGGTGCCCCAGAAGGCGGTTTGCCAGTCGGGCTGAAAAGGATCGGCCTGGTTTAATCGTCCATCACTTAGCACATCGGAGTCGCGCCATTAGATCAGGTCGGGTCGTATAGACTCACCTCGTTAATGTAGGCCGCACCATTAGGAGAGGCGGCGCGCAGAGCACCATCCACGACGTTGGTCAGCTTGTCTTGAGCAGTTGCCTTCTCCGAAAGCGGGGCATTGCCGGATACAGGCACCAACGTAATGAGCTTGTCGACCACGTTGCGGAACCGGGGGTTAACGGCACTGTTATTCCACTCCTTTTGCGGCAGGCCGTGGCCAGCGTTCCACATGTGGCCCACCATAAAAGAGCCAGCATTGAGGATTGTCTGAAAAGCCTTGATAATAGCGTCGTGATTATTCTCCACATCGGTACGTCCAAGAGTCCAGCCACCTGTCAAGGCCGAGTTGCCGGCGAATTCAGCCTCGAACATTGCTTGATACAAGTCGTAGAATGTGGGAAAGCTCTGACCGCTCGTGGTGTAGCGGATACCCAACGCGTCAAGGTCGTCGAAAAGCGGCTTTACGATACCTTGTAGCTCAGCGAGCGTCTTGCCGATGCCCACAAAGGGGTGCACGTGGAGGCTCTGCCCAGCTAATCCCAGCTCATAGTAGACATAGAGCCCTTTGTCGACAAAGTGGGTGCTATAGCCGTGGAATTTCCGCACAGCTTCCCAGAAGAGCGTGGCATTGGTCGTGTGCGACGTGTTGATGTCAAGAGTGATGCCCGCGCTGGGCGTGTCGTCGAATGTTTTGTAGGACGCCTCGACGATTACGCCAAAGGATGCCGGGCCGCCACCCTTCAGAGCCCAGAACAGGTCAGGATTTTCATTGGCATTAGCGGTTCGCAATTTCCCATCCGCAGTGATGACCTTGAACTCGAGTGCGGTGTCGGCGAGGAAGCCGTAGAGATTGGTCAGTGGGCCGTGACCACCGCCTTGCACAAGACCTCCGGCTACTCCAACGGTCTACACTGCCATATCAGCACCGATCTGGCTAATCGCTGAATATTACCGGCTGGGCGCTTACCGAACACTCTCCGGTGACCATGATCTTGGGAGGTTTGAGGGCGTTGGCCTGCTGTAGAACCTTGAACGCCTGTACACCTGCGCCCACTGTTACCGCGGAGCCGGTGTAAGCGCCAACGCCGCGCCATGATTTCGAAAACTTGATATCCTGGAAGCTATGTGTGTTGATGACGAGGGCGCCCCAGCCTACACTTCGACCAAGAAAGTCGTGGCCTGTATTCCGAATGACCAACCGCAGGTTGTTATCCCTGGCAAAGTTGATACCGGCTTGGATATGCGCGGCCGTCTTGGCCATAATCACGAGGACCGGGTAGTAACCCAAAGTGCATGTGTCAGATGGGTTTGTGGTTGGTCGGCAGGTATCGTTGGTGAAATAGGTCCAGAGGCCAGCAGCAGGCAACTCGATTCTATACGCAAATGCTTAGTCCTGGGCCTGTGATGTTGATCGCGCAAACGTACTGGAACTGCTCATTGGCCCAACCGGCGGTCACCTTCTCGCATTCGGCCGCATTGAGCGTGCTCACATTGCCTAGCGGGCCCTGAAAGGTGTTGTAGCACGGCGCGCCTGGCGGAATATTGATGCGCAGGTTTCCGCCCACAGTGGCGTTGAGCTTCTGCCACTGCGCATCATTGGGCCAGCATCTGTCGCCCGGAAAACACTTGCAAGCATACTGAACTCCGCCCTCTGTCCTTAACACCCATTTGGAAGACGAGAGAGCTTGGGCTGCGGTATCATGAGCGAGCAAGAGCGCGCCGCATACGAGGTTGAAGACACCACTCCTCATCATGTATGTAGGTCTGTAGGCGCGGGCGCTTTCGGATCCGGACCGAACCAAAGATGGGCAGAGAAGGGAGGCGAGTAAGGCCACCGAACCATGAACCCAAACCATGCGGGTGCCCAGGCGGTTTTTAGTGAGCCGGCAAGACAGTCTCCGTGCTGGGGTCCCTGTAATGCGTTGCTGGGTCACGGAAAGAGTCCACAGGGAAGGGCACGCGGACGAGTGCTGGGCAGTGGCTGCCAAGCTGCTTGCTGCGAGTCCTCGAGCATTGTTCCTGGACGAATGCAACCCAAGTGCGTGGCTATAATGCAATGCATTCGGAATATATTGTGTTTTTGAGCCATTCCGGGAGAAGGCCAGGCGCTGGTGCAACCATGGGCCAGTTGGTAATGCATGTTCCGTGGCTCCGAGCCGTGTGCTCCTCACTTGGCGTTCGCTGAGCTGGGCAAGTTAGCCGCCACCCTGGAAACGCAGTGGGTGGACAGATGAACAGAAATGGCTGCTCAAGCCGGCGCACGTTGTAACCGATGAACCCAATTGAGCGATGTCCTATAATAGCCCCTCCGCGGGCGGGATACCCTATCCTAGTCCGTGGGAACCAGAGGAGGAGAATTGGCTTCGAAAATCGGGCATGATGGCGAGGTATATTGCCTGTACGTTGGACAGTACGGGAGCAGAACCGAGGCGCTTACCTCCTGTAAACGTCGAGGCGGGATGGGCGGCAGGGAAGCGCTTCGTCGTTAACTTTTGAGTATGGAAAAGTCAGAGGCGGCTGTGTTTCTGCAAATTGCCTGAACGAGGACGGGCGCGGGAGTGGGGATGCGGCAAGCAGCCTCGGCTGTAAGCTGGAACTTGCAATAACAGCCTCAGTGAGTGCCGTCGGCTACCTGGCCAATACTACTGCCTAGTAGCAGAAGCCCCAAGTAAGATCCAAGATCTGTTTCTCCACGGCTTTGGCCTGTAAACAGTTTTGGAAAGAGGTGAAAGGCTTGAAAGGGCGAAATTCGGGGCCAGCACGGACCTGATCTACGGATAATGTCCATGGACTTACAGCCCTAACCCTTATCAAATTCATATCACTCACATGCCAGGTACACGCATGTTTCCATGGCAGGCATTTATGCAAGCGCAATCTCAGCACTTAAAACTGTTACGCAGTTTGAACAAGCTCCTCATGCCGTTGCAGTTTAGTAGGTCGTTGCTCCGTACACTGAGGTCGTTGTATGAGGTCGTTATCGTCATGTTGCTATGCTGATATCGAGGTAAGACTTCCTTCTATTAAGTTATGTAGTTGCAAAATGATAGTGGGTTCCTACTTCCTAGCACAAGCTAAGCCAGAAGTAGATAATAGGGCTGCCAAGAGATTTGTGGATGGCCCAGTGGGTAAGGCACGTGTTCACGTGGCGCGTCTTGCTCCATTTACCAGCGGGTTCCCGCGCTTCCACGCGTCCCAATCCTCTTACAAACTTACGAAGCACAGTATCCGTAGATCGTGATCCTTTGAGAACCCGACCAGGCGTCACCCCCTGTAACCGGCGTTCGCTCCTACCGGCCGACGTATCCGTATCGAACGAGAGACATGCCGAATTCCTATCTTTGCACAACTCCACCAGTTCGGTGACATCAATGTCGTGGTCAACCGCTCGGGCTAACTTCGCCGATGCTTAGGATGCGCGGACGTTTTGCAATCCTGCACCTCCTTGTCGGCGACTTCAATGGTGCAGTTCTACAGTGAGATTACTGATCGCCGGAGTCATCGGTATCGGCCGCAGGTCGGGAGGATCCTGGATGGCCACCCCCCATATCTGCCCGATGCAAGCGGAGTGTCAGCTCTGATACCCGAGCACATGGCGAACGGGTAACATACAAGAACGGGCGGCAAACCCACACACTCCTCGCTGGTTTCTGTTCCATCAGGCTTTCATTCCAACAGGTCAAACAACTTCTAGTCACATACACGCGTCTTCCGCTGTCTACGTCTCCCTAGGCTCTCCAAAGACAGAAACAAAGAAATCTACCATGGCAGCGCCACAACCCTCGTACACCAAGGTGACGCACTCGGCCACCTACGCGGCAATCAACCCAACCCTTCCCGCACTCTCCTCCGCAGGCAAAGTGGTGGTGATCACCGGCGCGACGGGCGGCATCGGGCGGGCGACAGCGCGATCGTTCGCCGCCTCGGGCCCCAAGGCGCTCGTGCTGCTTGGCCGGCGCGAGGACGCGCTAGCCGAGGCGGCCGGACACGTCCGCTCCAGCCACGACTCTCTCACGGTCGAGACTCACGCGGTGGATTTGGTCGACAGCGGCAAGCTCCGGCGGGTCTTTGCAGACGTTGCGGCCGCCCACGGAGGCGTCGACGTCGTGATCCACGCGGCCGGCGTGCTGGCGCCTGTGGTGCCACTCGTCGACGCCGACCCGTCGACGTTCCTCGACGGCTACAAGACGACCGTGGTGGGCACGCTGGCGCTGGCACAGGCGCTGGTACTGGGCAACGGGGAGAAGAAGGAGACGACGCTCGTCAACCTCACCAGCGCCGGCATCTTGGTCCCGCCCTTTCACGGCATGGGCGCCTACGTCAGCTCCAAGATGGCCGCCGTCAAGCTGCTGCAGGCCTTTGGCGCTGAGAACCCCCATGTCCGGATCCACCACGTCCATCCGGGTTTCCTTGACACCGCCATGTCCGCCCAGCTGTCAAAGACTACCAAGCTGCCCTTCAGCTTCGATGACAGTAAGTCTTTACTCGTCTTATACATGTGGATTCCATTGATCAAATACTTACCTATACTTCTCTTCCTCAGTCTCCCTCCCCGCGGATTTCTTAGTCTGGGTTGCGTCACCCGAGGCCAAGTTCCTCAATGGCAAGATCGTCTTCGCCGCCTGGGACGTTGACGAGCTCAAGAGCCGCGAGAAGGAGATTGTCGGCACCTCGCCCTTCGCGGGCGAGCTGTGGCTGAGCTTCTCGGGCTTCCCGCGCTACGTTGGCAGTCATGCGCTTGGCGGACAGTAGGGGCGAGCCCTGGCTGGACACGAGCGATCGTGATTGCTGGCCGTTCAACCTCTTACTAGTTGGGTAGGGAAATCAGACCTAGTTCTAAACTCAATTGTGTACTATTCTCCCTAAATGACAGAACTGTTCTTAAGGACAGATGCAGCTATAAGACCTCACCTATGGACGGCACTCCATTGACAGACATGTAAAAAGAGACTATTAGCTAGGCAGAAAACAGCCACCTAATTCCGTAACTAGTCCCTTGCAGATAATAAGCAGCGCAGGTATGTAGGTACATAGTCATCCATGCTGCATGCAGGTCTCGTCGAAGCCATCCGCACGGGCAGTCAGCATGCCAGTGGCATTAACTCAGATATCTCACTTTTCGATAGAAGCCCCAAGCATACAAGAATCCTGTAGCACTTGCCAAGCACAGGTTCATGACGGAGCTACACAGTAGATGGGTTGTCTCTGACCTCCCAACTTAATACCGAGGGAACGAGTGGTGCCTTGGTCAAGGAAATGCTCATTGGTCCATCAATGTTGCCATGATCGCTGGTGATTTTGGGTCAACGCTGTCCCAATTTCAGTTCAAGCCATTGAGTAGCCACACCGTTCAGAACTCGAAGCTTACCTATTCCTCGGCAGCCCGGATCCTCCCTAGTCCCAGCGAAAAATCGCAGGATTAGTGTAACCCGATCCATAACCACCAGAATAGTAGGAGCTCGATATGTAATTATGACCGTTGTAGCTCGCGGTTGTGCGCTTCATCCCGCCGCGGTTCTGAGTGTCAAGCTTCCTGTCGATGTTCTGCCCTCCCACTTCGCGAAGCCTATCCACGATTTGGGAATACGAAGCCCCAGTCATGCCTGGCGGAAGAGTGGCCAAGGCCATGGGTGTTCGGCCATCTTGAGAGTAAGCATTTGGATTTGCGCCGCGCGCAAGGAGGATGTTGACAATTTCAAGTTTTCCGCTTCTCGCCGCGACATGCAGAGGTGTTTCATCTTCTGCATCGCGTGCGTTAACCTCTGCCCCATGGTCAAGCAAGAGTTTGGCAATCTCGGACACGCCGTCTAGGGCTGCGTAGTGAAGTGGCGTGCCCCAACGTCTGGCCCGCGGGCTAGGGAATGCACCCCGTTCCAGAAGGAGTTTGACGATGGTGATATCTGGCGCTTTTCCCCGCACGGCGTAGTGCAAAAAGGCGAGTGGTGTTTCAGACCAGCATCCAGGGTCTTTGTAGGTGCTTTGGTCCGAAGGATGCACTCCGTGCTCAAGAAGCCTCTCTACGACGTCCCTGTGTCCTAAGGAGCAAGCTCTGCCCATGACCCAGTTCAGGTCCGGATTCGTATAACCACGTTCTTCAAGCTTGAGGGCGGCCCAAAGATCTGTCCCCATCCGTTCCTGTGGAAGGATTTCCGGTTCCTTGGCGAGACTTTGCGCAGCCTTCTCAGGCTTCATCCCCTGCTGTGCAGGTTCCGGTTCTTCGGCTTGCTCATGTTTGAGATTGTTGCCATCTGTGTTTTTGGGGCCCGAGGATAGTGGTCTTGTGGATCCGGGGGACGTTATGCTGGGATTCCTGACATCATTTGCGGTCGAGTTCTGGCTGATGCTGGATTTCCCAAGCACACGCCCAGCCCACTTCTTCAACTTGAGCTTCAATGGCATCGTCTTGGCCTTTGCCTGCTTCGATAGGGGTGACCAGGGGTGCCTTTGACTGCCGCAGCGACAAAACGAAGCTGGGGCCGGGCGTGGATACGACTACTACTAGTTTGTCTAAGGGAAATTCCATCCGGGTCAGAAGGAAGGTGCGGCCTCTCTACCTACCTAGTACTCTTGGCTGCCTACTGTGCCTAGCTTGCCGCCCCCCTCTTTTTCTGTTTTCTGGGTTGAGATTTGGATTGCTTGGCGCTTACAATCCCGTCTCAACTGAGGCTCAGCAGGACTCTCGGGATAACTATTACCCGTTGGCCTACCTGGTACTTACAATGACATAACTACAACGACGAAACTACAACGGCATAGATTGGCATATATATTTGAACTACTATAACTACCATGACTAGGTGCGCTTGTGTTGGTGGAGCTCCTTAGAGCTCATTGGGCCTTAACTAGAGCTTCTTAGCACTCCTTTGTCCTCTTTGACAGGGCAAACACCCTCACCACCACAGCTAGCCAGGCAAGCCTATATAGGCTTGCCTTCCCGAGCCTCTCTGGCCATCTTTCTCTTCTTGAGATTATTATCATCAAGAGCTTGTTTTCCCGTAGCTGGCGAGCATTTCCAACGTTGTGGTGGGTGTACAGATTAGGGGGTTTGTGGGTGTTAGTGCTATAAGGATTAGGGTTATGTATGTATCCTCTGACCACAGATCCTAACCCTATAATGTCGACAAACCAAAACCAGGTTTAGGGGTATATAGGGACAAGCCTTCTTAGCTTTAGCCTTTGTCGCACTACCTCTCCCAACTCTATTCAGGAACGTCTTGTGCTCGCTGCTAATAAGTGCCTGCTCCTATCCTAAACACTGAACTCATCGCATAATTTTTTAGATACAGTTACCTCTCATCTGCTTGATCGTATTCCCAAGATCTTGAGCGGTTTTAGTGCCTGAGAAATCCTAGTGCAAACACCTAGGTACCTAGGTAGCCGGAGCTCGGCTGGATCTGGCGGACCACATCGCGGAACAGACAACTCCGTTTGTTCTTCACTAACCCGGAATCACGGGGCGGCAACGCGAAGCGACAAATTTCCGTAAAAAGTCCTCCACTAAGATTCAGCGTTATGCCCACCGTTCCTCCCGTTTGGCAACCCACAGGCTCCCGAGCGCCCCTATTGCACATCAATACCACGCTGGCTCGGTGGCTCCAGTATGTCGACATGGACATCACCCCAAGTAATCGCGTCCTGCTCACTAGTATATGTATATCCCTCTTGCAGAAACCGCAAACTTTGTTCAGTGTCATGTCTTCGCTGCTAGTTCTGTTACGCGCAGTCCGCTAATACTTTCGAGTTGCCGTCAAGTCTCTGTAGCACCTCAATCAAATGAGGGCCTTATTCACGGCTGCGCTCGCTGCTGCTGCGGCGCACGAGTCCTTAGCACAACCGGTACCAGTGCTTGTCTTTGCTCAATCAACAGATGTCGTACTAACAAATCTACGCAGCTCTCCAGCGGTGACTGCCCCTCGTCAAGCTTCAAATCCCTCACAGCCCAGCGTTGGGTGAAGGCGGCCAAGCCGGGGTGGAACATTGGCAATACGCTCGATGCCTTGCCTGACGAAGGCTCGTGGAACAATCCGCGCCTGCAAGCGTCGACACTGGACTATGTCAAGGCAGCGGGCTTCAAGTCTGTCCGGCTTCCGGGTATGGGGTTCTGCTTCCTGCGTCAGCAATGTGCCTTGTTCACTTTCCGTTAACGTACAATTATAGTCACCTACGCGGAGCACTACGTGACTGGCTCGCCGAGTTGGACCATCAATGCGACCTGGCTGCAGCGTGTTTCGGATGTCGTGGACATGGCTACGTCTAAGGGGCTCTATGTGATCACAAACATGCATCACGGTATCATCTCCCCGTGCTTTCACAAGTACCTTGGCGTATTGTGGCTGATTAGAACGACTGAATAGACTCGTGGACATGGGCCGATGTCTCCAAGGCTGACGCAAACTTGACCATGATCGAGGAGAAGTTCCAAGCTTCCTGGATGCAAATAGCCAACAAGCTGCGCTGCAAGTCCGAGCTGGTTGCCTTTGAACCCATCAACGAGCCCCCTGGAAACAACGCCGAAGATGGGGCCAAACTCATGAAGCTGAATGACATCTTTGTGAAGGCACTCGTCGACACTGGCGGTTTCAATTCCAAGAGAGTCATCACTTTGTCTGGACCTGGGATGGGCGCTGATAAGATTCAGTGGTTCAAGGCACCGGCCAATATCACCAATCCATGGGCGTTTCAGTTTCACTTTTACAATCCTTGTTAGTACTCCCTGATATGTGCGTCTGACAGAATCTCTAACCGGCATCATGTACAGATGACTTTGTTTTCGGTGCTTGGTAAGTTGCCAGATTAAACACCGGTAATCCTTAGCCCTCCTATTAACACTAGCCTAGGGGCAAAACTATCTGGGGCTCCGAAGCCGACAAAGCCGCCGTCGTTGCCGAACTCTCCTCGGTCCGGGGCAACTTCACCAACGTGCCCATCGTCCTGGGCGAGTATGACGCCTCGCAGCTCAACACGGAGCCCGCGGCACGCTGGAAATGGTTCGACCACGTGCTGCGCACCGCCCAGGCGCTCGACATGCTCCCCATGCTCTGGGACAACGGACTCGACAACCTGGACCGCGCGACAGGCAAGTGGCGCGACCAGACAGCCATCGACATCATGATGCACGCCCTGGCGGGGCGCAACAATTCCCTGCCCGACAGCACTACCGACCCGGCCGCCACGGTGCAGGTCAGTTCGGCATATGTCTTCAACAAGCTTGGTCAGACACCAGGAAATCAAACCCTCCCGTTCCTGCTGAACGGCAATACCATCCGCAGCCTCAAAATCGGCTCGTCAACCCTGTCCCGTGGCCGGGATTACTCCATCACAGGCAACTCCAACATAACCCTCCACGCGTCATTCCTCGCGAAATACCTATCCGCCACCGCCGCGCCGGGGACAAAGGCCAACATCACGGTAACCTTCTCCTCCGGCGCGCCGTCACGCGTCGAGCTGGTGCAGTGGGACGTGCCCAAGTTTGCTTCCTTATCCTCTGCCGCGCGCGACGCGCCCGCTGGAGGCGATCTGAGCATCCCCGTTGAGTGGCGGGGCCTGCACCGGGTCGCGGCGGTGCAGGTTGTGAAAGCGGATGGAGGGTATCTGTTCGATGATTGGACCCAGTGGCTGGGGCCGTTGCAGAAGGGGAGAGCGGTAAGTTTCGTTCCTATTGTATATGTATATGAAGGGATGATGGGATGAGTATGGGTTGGTATGTTGCTAACGGAGTTGTGATAGACGTATAACAACCAGTGGGATTTTGATCACAACAGGGTGATAATAAGGCGAGCGGCTATCGATGCTGTGATTGCGTCCGGACAGAATACCACGTTCAGGTGGGAGTTTTATCCGAGGGCTGAAGGGAATGGGAATGTGGTTGAGTACACTTTGACGGTGTAGCGGTTTGTGCCTCGGTTACCGGGTGCTGTTGGGTAGGGGAGTCTGAACTTGGAAGTTGGGTTAACCTTAAATCCTGCCAAGTTGCCGCAGTAGCCCAAGACCAACTGCCGTAACCGACATGGATGGATCTGCGTATGATGGAAGGCATACATTAATAGGAAGCTAGGAGGATAGAGTTTGCCTTTCGCAATACTGTACTATTGAAGTCCGGTGACCTTAGGCAGTAGACAACTGAAGTTTCTCAAGCCTCAAGGGCTCAAGGGTTCAGGGGTTCAGGGGTTCAGGGGTTCAGGGGCTAAATTTTCTTCTACTCGTTTGCTCGTGCTTGGAGCCACATTACCGTAACCCGCCAATCAGACAGCCCGGTTAGCTCAGCTGGTTAGAGCGTCGTACTAATATAACCTGGTTATATTGAGTAATGCGAAGGTCAACAGTTCAATCCTGTTACTGGGCAGTTGTTGTTTTGTCCCCCCTAAAGAATGTTGTCCATCTTTTTTGCTGTGACGGAATCTGGAAGAATACAGGTCTTGTTATTAAAAGTACTACATGGGCTATAGGAATACCTGCAGCCGCTTTCTGCTCTTAACCCCTTCGTTTCCGCTCGAGCCTGGATAGCCATCGACTACCTGCTTTTTGAAAACTTGGCGCGGATCTCCTCCTCGGTAATCTGCCGAGTATGCCTTTTGAGCAGCGCTGCCCGCTCCTCCAAGGTCATGGACTTCTGACTCCCGATGGGAACCATGCATTTCGCTAGTGTCTCGTAGTCTTTTAGCATCAGTCGGATAGTGATCATGATGTAGTCAATGTTGTGGAAGACAAGGGCGTTCTCTGAGGCGTATGTTTCCTTCCCCTTTAGGAAGGCAACGGGGTGCTCGCGCCAATGACGGAGCGGGTTGAGGTGGTGCGAGGTGTGGTAGCCGTCGTTGAAGCAATAACGGTTGCTCTGTATTCAGATCAGCGATCGTATCAATGTAAGTATTAACTATGTGGTCTCACCGCAACATCAATTAGTGTGATACTTGAGCGATAGTCCGAGTCCGGCTCTTCGTCGTCGACGAAGGCGTGCTGACCCCAGTTGCCCACCATCAACCCAATCCGCATGAGGATAAACGGCAGCAGAACAGTGCAGAGGGCGGCCCGTGAGTTAACACGCCACAAGCAATACATCATCGCGTAGCTGGCGCCCTCCCAAAAGCCGGCCTTCAGAGCAAGGGACAACCTGCCCTTTCGAGCAAAGTACCTGGGAAGTTCCAGCCATATCAGCAACAAGAAGCGGCCAAAGTAATGGAGGAAGTGGAAGATGTCGTCCCGCTGATATCGAATGGTGGACGAGAGGTCGTCGGGCCCGTTGCCCTCGACATGGTGGTGCTTGATGTGATGGTAGAAATAAGAGTTCCAAGTGTGACCCATGAGAGGATCTGTAATGTAAGGAAAGAGGATGTCTATGAGACGGAAGCGCTTGGCAAGAATGCCTCTTTGGTGAATATGCTGGTGCATCATCAAGGTATAAGGACCCATGTAGGTGAACTGCATGACGAGATGCAGTAGTCCGTGGAGCCAGGAGAAGCGCCAAAAGAGAAATACGGCGCTGGGAACTGATGTTGCGAGATACAGCAAGAGATGGTTGAGCATCACAACGTCAGTTTCATAGCGAACGACGGAACGGGCAATGCGGATGTATGGGCGTAACAGCCAGCCATCAAGAAGTTTTGGCAGGCGGATGCTGTCGTAGTCGATCCCATTGAGCACGGTTGGCTCAAACTGAGCGTCCTTCGGGTCGTTGAGGGCCGATAGGGTTGCAATAACAGCCTCATCTTGGCTCGAGGTTGTGCCTAGACCACAGTCAGTACGCTGTGTGAATCTCCGTTTCCTTCGTCTATGCACGAGACATATAGTGTCTACTGCACGGGAGTAGTACTCACATTTCTCCGAGGTTGACTGGTCAAGTAGATCTTCTGCCAAGGCTTTCAGAACGAGACGGTCCGCTTTTGTTAACTGCTCATCGAACACAATATCGTCCATGATGCGAGTTCAGGCCTTCAGCACAAGCCTGGCGGTCTCGCAGAGCGACACCGCAAACTTGAAACGAGTGTATGAAGTAATCAAGGGGAGGAATCTCAAAACGTGAGCGAAGTGCGTGTTACTGAGTCTGATGGTCGGCAAAAGAACGACCACAAGTTCCTGCAAAAATGAGTGTGGTCAGAAGGTCTGTAATGATAACTGCGTAGAGATAGGTGTGGCTTCTCTTTGCATTGCAGGAGAGCACAGCAGTCGGGAACACAGAGAAGAGGGAAAATATTGGATGGTCTGATTTAGCTCTGTCTCCACATCATCTCCATGGGTAAGGTACTGTATGTACGCGTACTTGCGGGACTGGATACCGGACGAGATTTCAAGGGCGTTAAGTGGAGCTGGAGTGGAATTGCTGCAATCTCAAAATCGCACTTTACGCAAGTTAGCTCAAAGGCACCGGGCGTTAAACAGGCTTCAACTCGTTCCCCACAATGGCCTGTGTGCTTATGACCGTCTCTATCGAGGAGTTACAGTTTATCGCTTGTATCCGTTAATACATAGCAAGTACTGCCTTTGTACAATACCTACCTCCTCTCAACCAAATGTGGATGAATGTCGTCTGAGGGGTGCAGTACACGTACGGTATCCGGTACTCTGGGCAGGATGTACAAGTGCCGTGTCATTGACGTCACCCCGACAACCCAGGGCAGTAACGACCTGCTTTGCTCTACACTACAGATAATGTAGGGAAAATGGACTGGAACCTTGCGCTTAAGTTTTACTTCCCTTCAACACCATTGATGGAATCCAAGCATGATCGTTCCCCGACTACTACAAAACCGCGCCTTCCTTTCCGCAACCCGAATCCAGCTCGCACCGACTACTAGCCCTTCCCTTCGGTACTTACAACGCCCGCCAGCCATGTCCATCCACATGCAAGGACGCTGTGTATGCAACAAGCTGCAATATTCGCTAGACCTAGACTCGCCAGAGGACGCTAGGGCAACACTGTGCCATTGCTACAGCTGCCGCCGCGCATTCGGCACAAATTACGGCCTGACTGCTAAAGTTCCTATCCAGGCTTTCCGATATGAAAGCGGAACACCAAAGAAGTACAAACAGGAGAATGGTGTGACGAGGGAGTTCTGCGACAATTGTGGCGCCTATGTCTGCGAGTATGGGGTAAGTGAGGCTGTTTCTGCTGCACTTGACTAGACGCGACCATACCCTATAAGAGTCGGGAATCGAATAATTGCCCGATTAACAAGAGATACAGGAAGCTGCTGCAGACAAGTTCCGCTACATTATGTGGGGCTCGTTGGACGACCCTTCTTTGGTCAAGCCGAAGGGCGAGTTCTTTTGCAAGAGCCGGCCAGATTGGATGCCCGAGATCCCAGGTATGTCTTGAATGACTATTCTTACTTGATGCCGGTCACGGAAAACTGAGATGTCGGTCTAGGCCTATTTCACAAGAAAGAAATCAAAGAGTGAAAGAGCAAAAGAGTAGAATTCCTGTACGCTTATCCGGAAGAGAGGAATTGGCTTGAAATGACTTACCCAGAGACCTAGAACCAGCTGGATGGCATAGTAATAACATCGACTTTCATCAACCACGTACATCTGAGCGTGTGTATTGAGTCTGGATCATTCGGTGCAGAAGCCGGAGAATGCGACGTAAACGATACCCCGCGGGCGTTTACTACAACTCGTCGACTCCCCTGTCCAGTGAGAAGCTGGAATGGATGACAACCCTGAAGGCCTGGAAATTTGGAATATGATGGTACGAATAGGAGAACAGCGTCAGCGCTAGTCTCGGGACAGCCAGCTCCCGGCATTGCAATCATGACCGCCAAGATCGACCAATGACGGCACTGACCCGAAGAACGCATGATTCTCCTGATGAGACAATGTGCGTATGTACCTCCCCTACACCAACCTTACCCTTTGGGTTCTGCTTCGTAATGGTCCGGATACCATCACGTTTGTATCTCGATAACCAGGGATTATAAACCATCCATCACCAGGTAGCAGTATTCTTGGCGGGCAGCACTACTGGCTGAACTGTGAACCTCCCGCTCCCGCAGCCTTGGACATGGTGAATACCAAGCCGGCACGCCCGGAGGTAATGCACTTGCTTACTGCATGTACACACATACTTGCGGATTGCAGAGGTGTGGCACAGCCGTCCATACAGATCGTCACTGCAGGACGGCGGCTCGACGAGAAATTACCTCGCAGAATCCTACAGTCCGGGTTCTGCGGACACGGGCACCAGATGTCCCATCATCATTTTGATAATACCAACCAGAGACTATATGTATGGTGAACGCCCCCAAGATATGGCCCGAAGATGAAATCGTCTCAGCACCAGACATTCAAGCCAGCCAAACTCTGAGATCGCCAAAATGCTTCAAAAATGGCATGTATTCATGTTGTACACCTCGGTCCTACCGGTAGCCTCAGCCAGTAAACATCGTGCGCAACCCGTAAGAGCTTCCATTCGCCTCCAGCTCCAAACCCAACAGCGTGCTGCTGTTGAAACTCCCATGGTGCTGATCCATTACAGTGTGTAGCCTTGGCGGCTGCGCTCCCGGGGCTCGTGATCTTCCCCAACTCAACACTCTACGACACCCACAACTTCTACTGGTCGGAGCGCCAATCCAATCTCAGCCCTTCCTGCTTCGTCGCGCCCAACACCGCGCAGGACGTGTCCACAGCCGTCAAGGTGCTCACCCGCCACAACGCGCCCTTCACCGTCAAAGGCGGCGGGCACACCCCCTTTGAGGGCGCCTCCAGCATTGAGGACGGGGTCACCATCACCCTGGCATCCCTCACCGACATCACGGTTTCTGCCGATAGAAAAACCGTTTCCGTTGGCGCCGGGAACAGATGGATCAACGTGTCGGAAGCGCTGGATCCGCTGGGCCTCGCTGTGGTAGGCGGAAGGAGCGCAACAGTCGGTGTCAGTGGTCTGACGCTAGGAGGGGGCATTTCCTACTTCTCTGGCACTCGTGGCTGGGCATGCGACAATGTGCGCAACTATGAGATTGTCCTCGCCTCGGGAGAGATCGTCAACGCGTCCCCTGTCACCAACCGTGACCTTTTTTGGGCTTTGCGGGGTGGAGGCGGTACCAACTTCGGAATCGTCACCCGTTTTGACCTGGCTGCCCATGAGCAGGGCGATCTCTGGGCAAGCTCGCTCATCTGGCCCGGAAGCGTAAACACAACCCTGATTCCGCTCTTGCATGACCTGCTCGTGCGCAACCTAGTAGCAGACCCTGCCGCACATCTCTATTTCATCCTGGTCAACGATGCCTCCCTAGGGGGCTACGCGGTCGTGAGCGACCAATTCCACTCCACCCACGCCAACATCTCCCCGCCGGCAGTCTTCTCCCCCTTCCACGACGTGCCCGCATTATCAGTCAACACGCGCATCGCCAACGTCTCACGCCTCTCGCGGGACATTGAGCAGGCATTTGGCGGCCGTACAACCTGGTGGGACACGACCGTAGCAGCGACTGCAAGTCCTAACCTGCTATTGGATATTGTCCCACTCTTTGAGGCACACGTAACCCGGCTGAGAGCGGCCGCCGAACCCGTCAACTCGACAATGACGCCCTTTATGGTCTTCCAGCCTATCACACTCAACATCCTGCAAGCGATGCAGGTCAACGGGGGCAACGCGCTCGGCTTGAAACCTGAAGACGGGCCGATCATGATCGTGCAGGTGAATGTAATGTGGTCGAGCCCGTTGCTGGATGCGGCTGTCGAGGAAAGTTGTGGTCGCCTCATTCGCGAGATTGATACGCTCGCTGCCGAGCGTGGGGCCAGGTCCAAGAACGGCTATATTTATATGAACTACGCCGGACGGCCGCAGGACGTATATGCTGGCTACGGCTTAGAAAGTTTGGCGAGACTCAGGAAAACGGCGAGAAAGTGGGACCCGAATGGCGAGTTCCGGAAGTTGTGGAAAGGGTATTTCAAGCTCTAAGACAGCAGGTGTCCCGGGAATCTGCCACGAGCAGGATTCAGCGTCGGCGGGGATTTGGAGACCATGGACTGGCATTCATGCTCGAACGGGACGTGTTCGACAACCTAAATCTCTGTCATTTTGTCAGTAACAGGTCTCTTAACACCGTATTCTCATTGCCTTACCAAGACTGTCTCAATCCTGTCATGGCCCTGCAGGGGGTCCCCATTGCAACTGGACCTTTGTTGAGAACCTGTCAGCTGTGAAGACAGGTGTCAACCTGATACGTTGACAAGCATCTCTTTGCAGATTCGGAGACGCTCGCATGCTTCTTGCAGCAGTTCAGAGTGAGCCTCAGAGAAGATAGAGCGCAAGGCATCCAGCAGGTCTGGCAGGCCGTCTCCCAAGCCCATGGCCACAGATTCGGTCAGCTCGGAGAGATTCGCCACGTGCGAAAGATAAGCGGCAACGCGGCGATAGTTGACCGGCGGAGGCTTGTTGTGGCGGAATTGGGTGTGCGAATGCGATGGCGGGTCTTGGACCGAGTCCTGGCGGCTGAGGGCGCGTACAAAAGACCAGATACACAACGCGGCGTAGTACATGACCCAGGGCCGGTGTGGGTCGGGCTCATTGCGGCAAGAATAGGTCTGTACCTCAATCGGGGGCAGGCTGACGCCGCCAACGTCCAACCGCTCACGTTCGCTCGCGCCGCCGCTTCGTCGAGGATCTACCAGCACGCGGTGGAGGAGTTTGAAGGCATGCAGGACGGCATGACGTGTCGATGGCGAAGATGCCCACCCTCTCATGCGGGCGACGACGTTGGTATAATCCCTCACCGACACCTTTCTCCCGAGCAATCGCTTAGCACCAGCATATACTTGACAGTCTATGATGTCGACATGTAAGCTGATCTGCGCCAAGTGGTACAGTACAGCGGCGCTATTGATCGGCCCATTTGAACCAGAGAATTGAGCCGACGAATCGGCGAGGCCTGATGTTCCCGCTGCGCCCTGTGCCGCATCAAAACTCCGCTTCCAGTCGTCGAATGCGTTCAGCAACTTTCTCCTCCATACATCCTGGGTCTCTGTAGGCGGCGCCGACAGGTCTAACCATTTGAGATGCGTCTCTCTGTGGCTGAGATGCCAACCGACACTGAGTAGCCCAGACATGATGATCATACGGCCGAACGAGTGCGTTTTGACTTCTTTGCCGTGAACGGCACGCTTCAGGCCATCGAGGAACGATATGGTCTGCACACCGTACATGCGGAGGTTCTGGTCGAGCTGCCGCACAGTATCCGGGTTCGACGCTGTCCACAGATTGTCATCGCATGGGAGCGGCAAGCGAATCTCGTGTGGTGCCATGTCGGCAGTATGACCAAACATAGCGGCATGTATTATATCCATCATGAAAGCTGCAAAGACCACACGGTGCATCGCTTCCGTCTCGGCCCATCGCCCCCACCATGTGCGGGAATCGAGTCCAACCCCCTGTGGATGTTCGGCTGACGGTACTTCAGGGGGTGATTCGCTGCCCGAACGGCCGATTAGGGGGCTCCCTCGACGGAGAAGGGTCAGTGCAACCGAGTGGTAGATGTGGGCCCGTTCGTGGAGGCGCCGAGATGAGTACATCTTCTCATAGAATTCGAGGAGCAATAAGGCTTGAGAAACCCAGAGCCAGACCGGCGGCTGCGCTTCCTCTGCGGTCAATATCTCAGACCTTACCCCGAGGATAATCACGTCAGCAAAACCTCCGTAATCAGAGAGATTCCCACTCGAGTCCCTGCCGCGCAGCGAAGCAGCGCCCAGGGCGACCATGACGAGGAGCAAATACAGGGAGCATCGGTTGCACGAAAAAGTGGGTTGGTGCACAATAGGAAGCCGGGGTGACACGTGCTCCCAATACTCTTGCAGACAGTCGCGCATCATCTCGAGTCCAAGGGCAGGGATATCGCCGTTGCTGTCGTGAACAAGATTCGCCACCAGTGGTTCACATTTAGGGTGCTTCTGACGGAACAAGTGGAAGCAGCGTAGGATCTCCTGTCGGCGGAACTCGGTGATGAGTTCATCCTCGACAAAGCGGGCAGGAGTCTCCTGTGATCGGCCGCTCGTCAATGACTCGTAATCGTAGTGAATGTTGTTATTGAAAGTCGACTCAAGACCGCCATCCATAAACGGAATGTGCGAGACACTAAAATCACCATAGGGCGCATGTGGATTGAACAACCAGACGGCAAAGTTCTCACGAGACATATCATCGTGCTGAAATTCGACACTGTGATAGGGCACAGCGGCGGGCTGCTCAGGGGCGCGCTGGTCCTCGCGGGCATAGTAGCCTGGCTTGGGGCGAATGATATTGCAGGCCCCAAGGTCTGGCAGCTGCGAAGCCCAGCTAGAAGGTTGAGCCATTCTGGGTGGACCTGGGTTGGGAAGCGTTGGCGGAGGATGTGTGGTCGTATCCGGTGAGAGGAGTATTGCGGCGTCATGCGGAACCCGGGCGAGGGTGGGACGGACTTCGGCGACGGCGGTTGGTGATACAGCAGGAGCTGGGGTTGACGAATCGGTCGTCGCACTGAAACTCGGCATTCGGTTCCGCGGGATATACGAGGCAGAATGCCGCTTCCTGTGACGGGCTAGCAGGTCTGCGCGCACGAACTTTTGCTCGCACTATTTATGCTTGTTAGCGAACCATCTTTTGGTCTAGACCGAGGAAAGGCACGAAGGAAAAGAGGGACATACGCCGGCGACGTCGCAGCGGTATATTTCCTTGGGCGCATCTGAGAAAAAGGTTAACTAGCCGACTAATTGCACACCGGCACGCACACCGAGTGATTGATGGATGGGATGTGGCAGGTGCACGCACGGTTCAGCTGGTGTCGTTGGAGATGCTCGGCTCTCGAATACAACTTGTCGCAGCCCGGGTAGTCACAGCCAAAGCGCCGAGGTGCGCCCTTGCGGCTGGCGCGTTTGTACGGAGCCGGAGCAGCACTGGCGGCGCCATTCTGGGATTGCGGAGCCTGTTGGGCTTCCATGAGGTTTGGCTTTTTCTGCTGCGTGTTGTCGGTCGTCCGTCAAGGTTACTAATTAGTGCTGCCCTACAGGTGTCCACGGCGCATTCTTCAGTGGATCGACGGGCAGAACTTCAGAAGTGAGTGACAAGCACCAGAAGGTCGCGGGTACGCGCCTATCCAGAGCAAAAGAAGGACATCGGAGCAGCCTTGGACAACGATCAGATAGCTCGGAAATCGATTGGAAAGACGGCAAGAAGTCAAGCCAGACTGCCAGACCTGGCGTAAGCTTAACTGGCGAGGAAAAATAGCTCGACAGCGGGGCAAGCGACAGGACCCGGACTCCTTCCCCGGCGACCCTGGGCCCCGAACCAGTTACCCAGCGAGCAGGAAGCTGCGGGCAAGTCGACCCCCACGCTCATCTCCACATCCCGCCGTCGCTCACCAGGACGGGCAACTCCACGTGGAGGGACAAAGGCACGGGTCTCGCTGGCAATCTGTTACAGTATGTTACAGTTCCCGACATTTGCCATGCGCCACACCCAACTTTTACGTATGAACCAAGCCGCTCAAGGATAGAACAGCATCATGATGGAGCGCCAATGAGTAATGACATTGTGTTGTAAAGAGCTGAATTGCGAGGTTGGAGAGAAACGCTTTGGGAACGGCCAACCCTGCGTATGTACTCCGTAATTGCACCTACTTCTTAACTCGAACTCAGATGCGCCATATGCAGCTTGCAAAATGCGGGGTCTTTGTGAGTTTGCGGCGCTCTGGTAATGTGTAACACTGTAACTCCATGTGCACGAAGCACCTCAACATTTGTCGGCCCGGAATGGGAGCTTTTGCTTGGAGGACGTGGGGGTCCAGGGCCAGTCAGGGGCAAACCACGGCAAGTCCCAGGGGGTTTGCTGAACGCCAGCGGCATCGACGAGAGCATCACAGCGACGGCTCCCTGCTCAGCCTAAGATAAGCAACAGAAAAGCACTAACACAGAGTAGATCAATGCAAGGCCCGTGGGCTGTTCCGCCTTGGTTGCGGACTCAACATCAACGCAAGTATGCATGTATCTCCGTGCTTCTTCTCTACGGCATGGAAGGTGCCTTTTGAGGGACAAGTCTCAGCTGTCCAACCCCGAAGCTCCAAGTGCTCCCCGCAGCAAAAGAATGCTGTGCATAAATTTTGTCAATAGTGTGCGAGCTGAGGGTGAGCTTCGTACCGTGCATGGTAGGTCAAGGGACTTAAGGTAACATAACATTAGATTGATCACCTGTATCAGAGACGCGGTACACGACCGAGGGGCTCCCCTTCCGGCTAGCATTCTGCACAGCAGTAGTTGCACCACAAAAGCCTTGAAATAAGCAAACCAGCATGATCATGATCTCCGGGCTTTGTAAGACTGCAGGTCCAGGCTTCTTGGTCTCCGACGGAGATCTCCTAATTAACTGACAGTCTTGGCATGCGTTATGTACAGTCCAACCCTTGTTCGTTCGTTAGCGTGGTACATGGGATGGATCTGAACAAGCATGCCAAAGCCAACCAAAATCAATTGCGAGAGTTCATTGATCTGAAGCCCTGGCGATAGCTGGTTGGACGCCTTGTCGATGTGGGAATGCTTTGCAACGCTGTAAACATATATGGAATAGTTGGCTGGAGAAGAGAGTAAAGGTTGAGGCCAGGGTAGAAGCCAGGGCAGAGAAGTTGAAGATTATGTAAGCCCAACCTGAAAAATGGGTCAGTGCTAGATGCGTGTGGTTCGATTGGCCAAAGGCCTCTGGATTCTGTGTTGTGGTTGGTTTAGAAAACACGGGGCAAGTCCCGCGCTAACAAACGAACAAGCCTTACCATCGTAATTAGGGAAGTTAACCAGGTTGGGAAATTAACCAGGCCCCACATGACGCCAGCCAATGGCAAACCTTGGCAAAGTCAGGACCCGCTGTCATTGGCCGCGGTTAACTTCCCAACCTGGTTAACTTCCCTGCTTACGATGGTATCCTGTAGTTGGTCAAACGGGCCTCGGCTGTCGCTAACTTATCGGTCGTATAAGGCGAAGGGATCTTGACTCCCGTCGGTCCAGGCACTGCAGCGGTACAGTCCATGGAGGCTCAGAGGAGGTCGGCAAAAGTTTACAGTTGGCATGTTGCGGGGTGCACATAGGAATTTGGCTGGAAAACAGTAGCGCTATACTAACTAGGTGAAAGTCATGTCCAATCATCGAAACGATACTCGGGTGACATACAATTTAGCCTGGAAAAGAGTATGGAACTGGGTATAGTCTGTCCATTTTGAAAATTATATAGTGTAGGATTACAATATTGTTAGGACACTCCGTTCTTATACAAACTCTGTCATAGAGACGGCCTTGGCCACAGTGGCCGAGTGGGCTAGTCAGGCCAGGGCCTTGGGCCCTCCCTTGGCCAGGCCCAGGGCCAGGAGGAGGAGGGGGATTCCTTATTCTCCCTCTGACTGTGACGAATCTCGGTCCCCTACCACTGAAAGGGACTCCTTAGACTGAAGGTTGACTTAGACGGGGTGAGGTTCGGTAGAGCCAAAGGGTCTACAACAAGTGCACAAGCAAGTGTTCACACAGTTGTAAAGACAACTGCTTGCATTGCTTACTGGAGAACCTCTGGCAGGTCCTCCAAGGGAATAGCTAGCTATCTAATATACTAATGATTGTCTTTGAGGATCACTCCTTGCTCCTAGTGATCTCTGTGCTGACTCACCTGGCTCACTTCGTGATCCCAGTGATCCTTATGTTGGCTCACTCTCCTTCCCTAGTGATCCATTCTGATTGGTTAGTTGAGTGATTGGCT